ACAGGCGGCGAACTGTTCTCTCAACGGCCAAACTCCCTTGGCATGCTTATCTCTCTATTTTGGCCGATGTCTACTCTTTTCAGCCGCCTCCTCAAGCCTGATAGAGGCTAATGCAGTTAGTGTGTTGAGTTTAACTGCAAAACTGACACAGCAACTGATGACATCACGCCCCTCCAGGTACGAGGAACCAATGACAACAGCATCGTCAGCAAGTGTTCCATGTGCATGCTGGGATACTTCCAGGATGACTTTCTCGGGCACTTCGTAGCAAAACCAGCCCGGAGAGCGCCACTCATCAACAGGTGCGGAAACTGACGTACTGACCAGTACATTTTCTATATAATCAGGCTGGTAGACTGTATATCAAGATGTGTTGATGTTTCAACAGGGCTTGAAATCCATTTTTCTGCATACTACGAGTATGTACCTTAATCAAATTTTATCTGCACTACAGTTTTCTTGCCTTTCTGCTCTGAACTGTTCACAAAAAAATAGATGAAGCTAGTGTTTTAGATGGTGACGGAATATTTCTTTTTCTTATGTCTTCACTCCAGGGGCTACTACATCAGAGCGAAAGCAGTGGATTACGTGCTGAAATCTTTCCTTTCTGCACATGAAGGAACGAAAACACAGGTAGATCATAGACAGTCTGTGAAACCCAGGGCACAAGTAGGTCAGAAAATGAAAACTACTGTTAGCCTGGTTGCCATCCTCTGTAGTTACCGACAGCTTTCTTGTTGCAGCCAGTGAGTGTCTACCACCCAAACCATTAGGGTGTAAAAGGCAGTGTCTCCATTTAAGTAGCCCTTGGGCCATTAACAAATGTGCTGGCGGTAACTACAGATGATGGCAACCAGGCAAACAGTATTAGGGGTTGCGGGGTTGTTTCTTTCTGTGCAGCTGATCAATCATTAAAAAAAAAATGACACAGTGGACTGTTGGGTTATCATGATTAGTTTTCATTTTTTGTTGATTTTAACTCCCAGTTTTAAAAAAAAAACAGGGTCAGAGCCATGCCAAAAAAGAGCTCGGCAGCCGTGAAGTACCCTTAATGCAAATGTGCCATCAGCACAACTAAAGTACTAAGTATGCAGAAGCTAATGTCGACTGTATGTTTTATGTCCAGCTTGTGTCCCTAGGGGCAGGGTTTGACTCAGCCTACTTCCGTCTGAAGTCGGAGGGTTTGTTGGTGACCACCGTGTTCTACGAGGTGGACTTTCCTGAGGTCACACAGCGTAAATCTGACATGATCCGAGGAGACGAACTTCTTCTGAAACTTGTGGGAGAAGACAGCAGGGTGGTAGAGAATGGTAAGGAGAGTTGTGCCATAACTTGCAACCATGCTGTCATCAGGAGGGTGTTTTTCTAATCCAGGTTTAGTTCACTTAAGAGATACTCTTCCACTGGTTGTGACAGAGAAGACAGTTGCTATGTACAGTATTTACTGGCTCATTGCACCGCAGAAATTCCCCTAGCTCTTTTTGACAAGTAAAATGAACAGAAGACTGGGTTTAACATCCCGTCCTAAGAACTGCAAGACTTTCCTTCAGTAGCATTCATATCAGGTAAGTGACAATAGCCGGGATTCGATCTCCCAAACTCTTGGTCCAGAGGCAGTGTCCCTTAAACCACTAGACTACTAGTGCATGTCCTGTTTTGTTTTACTTCATGCTCCAGCAAGCTTAAAAGCAAAAACTGCTGTTGGTGTGTCCTTGCAGGAATTGTGTCTCCCTCCTACAAGCTGATTGGTGCAGACCTGAGGAAGGTCAACATCTTACAGTGCCTCCTGGAGCATCATGGGATACATCCTGACTGCCCCACCCTGCTCCTGTCGGAGTGTGTCATCACCTACATGGGGGTCAAAAGGTCGGCAAGGTGTTCTATATCTTTATCTGTATCTGTATAGATAATTATGAGTTTGAATTACATGTATGAGTTTCAACTGCAATTGACCCAACACAATGAATTGGACTGGGTAAGTCCAATCTATTGTGTTGGCAATTGCAGTTCAAACGTTTGTCAAAATGACTTCTACCAACATAAATGAACTTCCAAGATAACTATATAAATAAATCAATGCCGGTATGTTGAGTTTAACTTATTGTAAAAAGGCACTGCTCCTCTCATTTCACAGCTCCAATGCAGTTATTCGCTGGGCTGCGGAAACCTTCTCTAATGCTGTTTTTGTGACATATGAACAGGTAAGAATGGCATTGTTTTAAGCCAATGTCTTGAATCTAAGTGAGAGAAATCCTTTAATTGCTGTGCACATTTTTGAGAAATATGTTAAAACATGTTCTCATAAATGATTCATAATTATGTCATTGAGTGTTTCTTTGTCACAACAGGTTTATCCAACTGATGGCTTTGGAGCTGTCATGTAAGTTCTGAATTTTCTACACCAGAAACATCTAAAACTTGGAAAGATTATACCTTCATTACAGTCTATGTTTTCAATATTGTCTTCAGTTCATTTTACATGTTGTACAGTGATGTCACAAGATACTATCTTGTTTGAAGGCTCTTATTTATTTTTTCTTGCAGGCAGAATCATTTTAAGAAGCTGGGCACTCCCCTCATGAACATACAGAGGTACAGAACACTGGATGCCCAGCGGCAAAGATATCTGGATCTTGTAAGTCACTTTATGTATATCAGTGTTCGAAATACCTGTCTGCAGTCTGCAATCTGCAGATAGATTTTCAAGATTGCAGAAGAAAAATTTATACAATCTGCAATTTTGCAGCAGGAAAAATTGGCACGTGGGATTTGGCGCTCTTGGCCCCAAGGACAGACAACACTTAAGCTCCTGTTCTGAAACAACAGCTTCTTCACTAATTTGCATCAACCTTGTCTTGACTTGTCTGTCTTTTGTTTCTTTTTGGACTTCCAAAAATTTGTCTTCACTGATTTGCATATCAATCAATAGTTCATGCTTATAAACCTGCAAGATTGTAGTATGAAGGCTTGTGTATTTGCAGAAAGTATTTCCAAATTGCAGAACAAAATTTTGAATCTTCTGCAATATTGCAGAGCACTGAAAAAAAGTATTTCGACCACTGTATATCCACCATATTTGAACTAGCCTACTCTAGTACTTATAATTTAGTAGATGGTCAACATCCTATGTATTTATTTTGTTTACAGCTGTATCTGCTCTGTTTCTTCTTCCTCTTCTCCAAACACATAAAGTCAGTGACCTGAACCAGACATGTACACCTGTCACCATGGTAACTGGTGCTGCAGCAGACACCCTGTGGTGTTGGGTTACATTATGTTGCAAGTTGCAGGGCAGAGTTGGAGTGGCTGGTGTGTTGACCCCAGATTGTAGTAGTGTTGTTCACTTGTTGCTGTTGTTATGTTCTCTTCTAGGGCTGGACCTGTGTGAGTGCCACAGACATGAACCACTTCCACAACACACTCATTCCCAGGGAAGAGAAACTCAGAGTGGACAGCATAGAAGTGTTTGATGAATTTGAGGTAGGCACAGAATATTTGTGTTTTCCTTTTTCTCCAAACACGTGATAATGCCCAGGACTAGGCATGTCACCCCTCCCACGGTACCTGGTGCTGTGACACACCCCCTATGGCATTGGGTTAAATTATGTAGTAGAACAGAGCTGGATAGGCTGGTCACCATAGTATACATAAACAGAGCAGTAGATTGTTAGGCAAGACAACTAATGTGAAGGTACACATTATGCATTTATTTCTTCCTTTTTTTATATGTCAGTTTCTGTTCCACAGAAATTGTGGTGAAATTTTTCACCAGAGGACTTCTTACATCGCTGTTTTCATGTTTATTCGTAACTTAATGTTTGCTTTTGTCTCTCCAGGAATGGCACCTGAAATGTTCACATTATGCAGTGGTTTGTGCCTTCAAAGGATCAACTGTTTCTCCCCTGTCAGAGACTGTATTTCCAGGTAGGGCCATAGATTCAGAAATTCATACTCAAGCCTTTTGTACAAGAAATGTTTTCTGTTGTAACAAAACAAAAAACTTTGTGGTTTGCACCTAACTAGTAATTTTTGTACGTGTCCTTAGATACAAAACCAACAAGTTCAGAATCATTGCCATCTCAAGACATTCAACAACAAGACATGTGCCTTTCTTGGAAGAATGAATCATTTGGTAGTGGCAGTGTGAAAAGATTTGGACATGCAAGCGCAGACTTAACAGGAGGAAAGATCATCACATTTGGAGGGTTCGGTGAGAGAGGAAATCAACATACAAGATTGTCTCTGGTGCAACTGTTGGATGTGGCAAATGGATCATGTCTGCCAGTAGAACCAGTTGGGAAAGAACTAGGTATGTATTGTCTGTTGTGCTTTGCTTTGTACATTTCTGTATTAAACTTTTACGTAAACTGAGCACATCGGCTACCATACCCTTTTAGAAATGCTACTGATTAGAGAAAGCAGTATGTACGTATACCATTTTTAAAGTGTTTGGTTTGACTGGGGATCGAACTCACGACCTACTGAATGCAAGGCGAACACTTGACCCACTTGGCCTTTGCACCGGTGCTTCCTAACACTGCTTTTTTCCCCTCTATCTGTAGGTCCCCTGCTTTTCCACACTGCCTGTGCTGTCTCACACAACACAGTAGTTGTGTTTGGTGGTCGAACATCTCCCTACAAACCAAAAGGAGAACTGCTGCAGCTGAAAGTCACTCCTAAACTTCACCCTGACACAGACCAGGAAGCCTCCTGGCTGTATGACTGGGAGTCAGTACCATGTACAGGGGACAGCCCCTGTCCAAGATGGAGACATTCTACTTCCCTGGTGTCAATAGAAGGTGAGTAACAGCTTTTGAATGATGCAAATGTCAAAGTATTACTTTGTATAGGATATTGGGGTCTTTTTTTCACAACCTGTAATGTCTCTCACCTGCTTACATTTTGTTTCAGCTACATTACAAGTGACAAGGAGAATGATTCATTTTCATTTACTTTGCTTTTGACTTCACCAAACATTTACATGTACTAGAGTTTGTGAGGAGAAGGTCTGACTTTTCTTTTTTTTTTTTAAATCTTTCTTTATTGAATTTTCCAAAATAAATTAACAGTAACAAAATATAGCATGGCATTGTGCAAAAAGGAATACATGGTGAACCACAAAAACAAAACGTAAAATCCATGGTACAATAGTGTTGTGCAAATTTTACAGATAAACCCTGTTGCCCCTAACTACATGGTTTAAAAATACAAATGGGATTTTTTAGCTCTTTAAACATTTGTTTAACAACTTATTTATCTATTCTGAAAAAATTGTATTTAATTTTCCCCATTTCCCCCTATGTTTTAATAGTTTGTGTTGCCTATACGCAATGTTTAATTCTAGTCTATAAAAGTAACAAACATAAGATATAAATGCAGATAAACTTAAGGAATACTTACGATTTTTAAAAATAAACATTTTACCCAGGAGTACTATAACATTGGAGAGAACCGGGCATCGATCAGTCAGGTTACCAAAAATTATATTGATTGCGTTGATTTGTAAATGAGTACCAGTGATGTTGAAGAACCAGTCGTCCACCTGACTCCAAAAATATGCAGATATTCGACAATACCAAAATTCTGACTTTTCTTTACATTAAATCAGGGCTCGAAATACCCGGTGGCGCACTGGCGCGGCGCCACCTGATTTTGCTTGGCGCCACTTATTCCTAAACTCAGGTGGCGCAGCGCGCCACCTATAATTTGCGGTAGGGACGTCACTGCTGCGACACCGCTCTTCCCCAGCTGCTACATGTAACATCATCCTTGCGCAAACGAAGAACATGGCGCACGTAACACCACCCGCATAAGTGTGCCGCAGTAGCAGCTGAGCCTGAAGACATGTAAAGGTGGCAGCAGGGTTGGACAAGTTAAATTGCCCGATTGCCCGGGGCAAGTAAAAGTGCTAATCGGGCAAGCACATCTCCCTCTGGGCTTGCCCGATCGGGAAAGTTAAATTTTTGTGACACCCCAGTACAGCGGCAAAATTGCTGATTTTTTCTCGCAAACGTACCAATTAATTCCAGTCAAAATCATGTCCATTTGTAAATAAACCCATTAAAAGTCCCTAGATACCATTACCATGACAGATTAATCGGTAAATAGCTTTATTTTCTACGAAACACCCGGGGCCCAGCGTCTCGCCTCGTCTAATTTTGATCCGCGGCGCCATGTTTGTTTTGGTCTCGGGGGACCCACTCTCGCGAGACTTGGTATCCTTATATCACTAGAGGGATCACGTGACGTGACGAGATCTTGCCTTTGACAGCGTTGCGGGAGTGCAGGAACAGCAGACGATGTTTCTAGAATTGTTTGGGGGATTTTGAACTGTCATCAGGCTTAATTTGGGGGGGGGGGGAATAAAGGAAAGAATATTCGAAACAGCCAGAAAGATAAGATTGTTGGCTAAGTTGGTTTTTTGAAATGGAATCTTCCCTTGTGGCCCAACCACGCATAAGGGCATGAAAGTTGGGCAATGCGTGACTGATTTCCTACTCCCCTATTTCCCTTAGGAAATCTGTTTGACGACTTGGTCCTTGCTGTAAGTTACATTTGTTTACAGGTCACCGGAAGATAACACTGGGCTAGATTGTTTTGAAGATTGTTTAAGAAATGCATAGAAAACTTCTAAGTTTCTTTGAAGGTACTATTAAAAAGACATTTGTGTTGAAACTTGTCTTACATTACTGGTAAGTTCAAATCAATGACACCTTTTTTGTTGATTATTCTGCCCATTTTATGTTTTCTACTCTGTATGGTAAAGGAAGTGGTTTAGCTGAATGAAATTATGTTTAAGGTAGTTTTATGTACACTGGCTTTAATAAATTCTTTTTTGGCCAATGAAGCTTCTTCAGATTTGTAGAAAATTTTACCTGTTTTGTTGAACATTGTCTTTAGAGTACCAGTATATTTTGCACAAAAGTTTGTACCTTGAAGTTGAAGGAAATAGTTTCAGTAGATTCAGCAAATATTGTCCCATGTTGTCAAACACATCATATCTTTAGTAACTTGACATAAAATTGCCTATTATCTTAACAGTGTTTTTATTTATAAAAAAATAGAAGGATTGCATTGTTGCAATTAAGAATGCAACAAAATATGTCATATATATTTTGGGCAAGTGAAAAGTTGGTTCGGGCAAGTGAAAATGACCATGTACTTGCCCGATAGGGCAAATGGATTTTTGTTCGAGAATAACAGTAGAAGCTCATAACAGAACATTGTTGTTCGAGAATAACAGTAGAAGCTCTGAGCCTGAAGACATGTAAAGGTGGCATTCTTTATTAAAACATTGTTGTTTGAGAGCTTTTGTTCTTTACATTACTTTATTTTATAACATAAAACTTAAGTAGTTAACTAGAAGAAAACGTAATAGATATAAGTAGCAGATTTGAAGAAAATGATAACTTGGAAGTGTTGCCACTTGAATACTGATGGCGCCACCTGGCTTTTGACTCAGGTGGCAACATGCGCCACCTGGCTGAAAAAAGTATTTCGAGCCCTGCATTACATTACAGGAAAGAAGTATCTGCTAGTCTTTGGAGGAAGAACAGCAACTGATGCAGTGCTGGGAGATACACATGTTCTCAGCCTGGACAAACTGGAATGGCTACAGGTCAGACCAGATAGTTATTAGTCACATAATTGTTACAAAATTGTTCTATTTTGTAATCTGTCAGTTTTGTCCTGTGAGCAACTTTCTGTAAAGTTCTGTCCGATTTGTCTGCAGTATAGGGCCTAGGAATAGTAGGATGACTCTCTAATGTCTGATGTCTTGTCCCATCCTCTTCTGGAGGGTCGGGGACTGTGATAGCATGCAGCACAAGCTTCTTCCATCCATCTCTGTCCTTGGCCATCTGTGTGCAGTCAGCCAGGGACCTGCCTGTCCAGTCCCTGATGTCGTCTACCCATCTCCTACGTGGCCTCCCTCTACTCCTACTGCCACAGACTCTCTAATATGCCATGACATTTTTTCTTCAGGTACATCTGTCAGGAAATCCTCCCTCACCAAGGCATTCCCACTCCTGTGCTACCTGGAACGACCAGGTGATCATCGCAGGTGGCCTGTGTGAGAACCTGCAGCCTTCAGGTGCTGTACACCTGGCCACCTGTACAGCTGAACCCCAGGGACAGGTGACAGTCACGTGGGCAGAGGTGGAGGTGACTCCACCTCTTACTCCAAGGTAGGTTAGAAAAATGCTGAATATACTTGACACAAAGTAGTTAGTTACTTAATATATTTTTTTCATAAGGAGGCTCCAGAAATAAACTATATGGATTGCATTTCCTATAAGTACATGTATGTGATGCAAACATTGTTGCATATATTGAGAAGAGTTCTTTTATCTATCAATTGACAGCAAACTTCTTTCATTTAAGAATGCAACTCTGCCTACGGTGCATAAGTCCTTTATTATAATTTCTTAAATGGAAAATTTTGTTTTCAGATACTCCCACACCAGCCATGTGTATGGGAACAGTTTAATACTTGTAGGAGGGGTGAATCCGGAGAGTAACTACCCTCCTGGGCTGACTGTGGTAGACATGGTCTCGGGCATGTGGAAGGACTATGCTTTTCCTGTAAGCTGCTTTCATTGATATTGTATACAACAAGCTGCAATTTAATTCTAGACTCTAGGCCAATAACTCCAGAATGCTTTACCCGATCAAGTTTGTATTTTTAATGAGAGAGAGTGACAATTATGTGGAACGCATTAATATTGGCCCCTAGGGATTAGTCGAATTATTAATTATACTACAACTACGTATGATTATACATATTGATTTTTGCATTATATATAATTATACATATCCCTTTTCACCATCATACATAATTATATATAACCCACTTCACCATTATACATAATTATATCCCTTGTCACTATTACACATAATTATGTATAACCCCTTTCATCATTATACATAATTATACATACCCCCTTCAACATTATACATAATTATACATATCCCTTTTCACCATTATACATAATTATATCAAGGAGGTTATTAACCTCCTTGATTATATATAACCCTCTTCACCATTATACATATTTACCAAACCTATTTTAGCTGCCGAGTCACTTTCGTCCTCTCCGCAATTTGCAGAGAGAATGAAAAAGACTCAGCTTGGCAACCTGGCAGCTAACACTTTGTTGTTTGTACAATACAGGAGTGTACGTTGGAGAGGCCGATCATGGTTCACAACCACACCAGTTACTTACTAAGTAAGGACCAACTGCTGATCATAGGTGGAGGGGGAAACTGTTTCTCCTTCGGTACACATCTAAACAACGGGCCTTTAACACTGGACACCAGCCAGTGTAATCTATGATGGGGTTGTTGTTGTTAGTCCTCTTGCATAGAGAATAAGACCTGATTTCGACACTGGCCAAAAACCTGATGGTACAAAACCTGTGTACGCACGGCACACTTTGCTGTAACAGGACGGATGAGTGTTGCACTGCAGATGCAGGACTATCTCAAGTGTGCTGCCCGTGTTGAGCCAACCAGCACCCACCATCAGCTCATTGGAGAACATATTACAACTGCGCATAGCACATAGCACTTCAGTAGAACGTCTCCTGTAAGGTTGCATTCACCTATTTATGCCAACGTCCCGTCTATCGTTTCCAAGTGTCGTGTGGGAAAAGATGTTGTCTGCAGGGACAAAATTCTGATGGATTGTTGACTAAACATGCAACAACTATGGAAAATCTGGGGGTTTGGACCTGATGCAGTACATTCTGGCGATGTGCTGTTGGCGTCATGAGCCATGTGTTGATCCTGCCTCAGGGTATTGAAGATGGAGGATGCAGTTACCTAGTATCAGTAGAAACATCTAGTGGGATGAAATAATACATCCAAACTGACATAAAAGAGATGAAATGACATAGAATAAAATATGATTAGATGGTATAATGTAACTTGTAAGATAGGATAAGATGCCAAATGATAAATAAAACATTGAAAATTAGATAAAGCATACAGTAATTTATGAAGCTGTAGGATCCCACCTCCAGATAAAAATGGGAGATATGCAGGTATTTTCTGATGTCTATCTGCACCTAACCGGCACCAATACAGGTACATAAAAGTGTATAACTGTAAATGTTAAGTGTATGTGGATTTTTCTGTACTGTCAAGTGCAGAAAAACAAAAATCCGTCAAATGCGTGTACTCAAGGTCAAGTGCTGACGGCATGTGACCTTGAGTACACACAATGTGTCAAGGGTTACAGAAAGTCTGTATCCACCCCCGTCTGTATCTAGGTTGATTAGGCTGGTGCATATCCCCTTTCCCCTTCCAATGAACTTTGGTAATGAGTATGGTATGGTATGAGTAACGTCCAGTGATAAAGATACAGAATGTGATGGCGATTTATTAGGCATTTATTATCCATTTACATTATTATCCTTTTATTTCATAGGCAAGATACATGGAGAAGCTTTTAAGCAAGTTTGACAAAATTGTCCTTGGTCTGCAATAAAGAGCGCTGCTGATAGGTGTCTCTTATGTATACCGCAAGTTACACGTCAAGTAAATTATGATCTACATAACACTGTTACCCTATTTCTCCATTGCATGTTCCATACACTTTTGTACATGATTTGTTAACTCAATATCAATCCACATAAGAAATGTTGTGGTAACCGTGATTAACTGGCGGGATATACTCTACCGTACCGGCAGTCGTTCAATTTCCGTAGCTGCAAGCAAATACAAGATACATGTAAGAGTGAAAACAATACGTACTACAATATATCACAGTCTTACGCCTTAAGGCGCAACTAAGATTACACGGACGCCCGGTGAATTACGTTTCCGTAACTACTGAACCACACAAGCTTGCTCTTGGCGCTAGAGTAAGCTTGTAATGTCGACAGCCATCACATGCACGTACGGCTTCAGTGATCTCTTGATGCTGAGAATTTGATCTCTCAGTAATTTGACTTAAGGCCACAGCAAGTAAATTTTATAGATAACATTATACTCAGGCGCCATATCTTATGCGATGGGGCGAAAAAAAAACAAGGCGAGCCAAAAATCAAGATCCCTATATTTTTGATACCATAAACCTTGTTAAACAAGAAATGATACCTGTATTTTACAAACTATTACAACATTCGTTTTTTACTGAAACAACTTTGAAAAAAAATTCAATCATTGTACAAATGGGTTTGATTCAGTGGGAACATTGAAAGACAAAACAATAAACTAAAGCCTTGTCCTGTCTTGTCTCCTTTCTTCACATCTCTCTGCCATCCACGTTCCGCCATGGCAACAGAAATCTTTGCCCATTTTCGGCATGTTGACCACTGTCAGAAGGCAATAAACTGTCTTGTTTTTTTTTTCCAAAATCAGGCGAAAATTAATGCGCGCGCTGATGTCATCCATAAAAATCACTTGCTGTGGCCTAATCGAGTGTGTAGATAATTGGGTGTAGATAATTGGACGCACATGTACAGCTCTTAAGGTTAGATATAAGAACTGAGTAATTTTGATCATTGGTTCATATAATATTTTTAGTCATTCGTATAATTTGACTCGGTTCATATCACGGAGGTACATTAATGAAATGGCACGTGTCCAAGGCGTGAAGTGCGATGATGATCGACATCATAATACAGGCTACTGGCGAGCTCACTCTGATTCCACTCTAATGATAGAGCCTTGCTGAGATTGGCGAGTACGCTTACACGTACGACATCGCAACTGGTGCATACTTATGATTTGACTCGCACGAAGTTAGTTACTCAAGCAAATGCATAGATTTTGAAAACGGTCAGACGTTTCAAGTAGCATCCACTACTTTTCCGATCAGTGACTAACGAAATCTGTATTAATAAAAAAACAACTAAAATCGATATGTAAATGATGTTAGGACAACTTTTTTTAATCATCTATAGGAAACTAACTACGAGAAAGCTGAAGCAAGGTAAATGCAAAGGAGTCAGCTAGCTCCTGATGTTTGAGTAGTAGCTGTCTTGTGGGGGTGGCAAGGTAGTGTCCCAAGTGCTTGAACGTTCGACACGTTCCCGTTGACGATGGGATGATAATATTGTAACAGAGAACCATGTGGATAACACGTACGTGTCTCTTTTCGTTGGCCAAACAATTCTGTTTCAGTGAATTCTTCGATTTATTTCAATTTGTTATAATAGTTGGCAGTAAACTTAGCAGAATATAGGTACCGTTTCTTGCTTTAATAACAAGGTTTATGATGTCCAAATTTGATAATGAAGGAATTTTGTTTTTTGCCCACCTTGTTTTTTCCACCCTATCGCATTAGATTTGGAGTCTGCGGAGGATTTCATTAATAAAATTTACTTGCTGTGGCCTGACTTCGGCATACCGGCCTGTGGATGAATCCGAATCATGGGTGCCTTAATGTGAAATATGTTTCACCCATGTTGGTGCGCACATTGCCTTTGGTTAGATCAATCCAACTCACTTCAAAGAACCTGATATGATTTGCCTCAAAGCAAGGCGCAGCCTTGCAAGCTTGAGCATGTAAAGCTTTGTAGTGTGAAAGGCCCGAGGCTACTTTCCGCCTCGTCTTTACGGTCGTTGCCATTTGAAACGGTCGATGCCATATCGCAGAACGGAAAACATCAGAAATTTGGATTGAAATTTAGACTAAATGTGTCATCAGCGCAATGTTTTGTGGCGTATACGTAGAGGATTTAAGGTAAAGGATCAGGCTTTTTGACCCGGATATTTAGATTTAAATCTAATCTAATACCTTTGCTTTTTTTGCAGTCTAAATGTAGTTTTTTATACGTTTTCAATGTTCTTGGCAATTTTGCCCCTCAAAGCAGTTTTGAAAGGCTCGGATATGCATGTGGCATAGACCATTCAGCGATATGCCATCGACCGTTTCAAATGGCCACCCAACCAGCTATTCCAATCTTGGCCCCTGGTCATCTTTTGTTTCAAAAACATTTCTCGTTTGTATTCATAACCGTTCTTTATAACGTGTCCTTTCCCACACACGCCTTTCCTTCAAGCAACAGCAACATGGATACACACAGGATTTTGTTGAAGATAAGAGAAGATATACGCCACATTCGATAATAACGTGGCTCAAAGGCTTCCTGAGTTCATCACAACTGATCCGCAGGAAATGTACTAGTAAAGCAGCACGTCACTGCTCCGGAGAGGGTATCTGTCGTTTAATCATTGGCTTGGCTGGCAGCTTTGGGCCTTGGTATCAAACATGGTTCGTTCTAAGGCTTTCAATTACATGCACGCGCTTTCATCTTTTCACGCGTATGCCACCAGTTTCTGCCTTTAAGCAAAGCCATGACTGAGGAGAACTAACGGTTTGATATTTTCCGCTTCGATTTCGAATTTTTGTTGGCATAAGGCATTTGTAGTTTTTATTTACAAAGGTATACGTCATACAAAGACACTTTTATCTCTCCTGTCAAGTTGATGAAGACACGGTTCGATCTACAACTTGCGTCATTTCCGAAGCAAACTGCTGATTGAATCATCGTAACTCTCTCCCGGTTCGATTTACAGTTCGGAAAATGTTCCATTCAATTTCAAATCTAGAGGGAGCAAATTGCGCGGATGTATCTTCTCCGCAGATAGGCAACATGAGCAGACAGGCAGGCTTCCTGGCGGGAGTATCGTGTCAATTTTGATTAGTTCTTTTTTTTATCATGGTCTGTTTTGAAATGGGAAAGAACACAAGACACGTTCTGAGATCTATAACGTTACTTAAGAGCTGGTGTAGAGGAAGAGTGCTTGATACTAAAACAGAACCTGAAGCTTCTTTCCTCTTATTGAGATGATTCGCCCTGAGACGCGATGCAATGGGTCGATACCTTTGACATTCAAGTGAGACAGATGGCTACAAACGATGTCCCTATATACCTATAATAACTCATTTTGGCGTATCAATTTAACCATGTCAATTCAAACGACCAATAGGTCACAAGAGTAACAGGCTGGGTAGTATTGCACATGCAATATTTATTGGATGCCGGAGTCGTATGAAATGTCAAGGTTAATGTTGCAACAGTTTGCCATTTGTTTCACGACTGGGTTGGTTGACTCCTTTGACATATGAGACCTAGGACTACATCAAGCCCCTGTCAGACATAGCTGAATATGACCTCCCGAACACTGTCGAATTCCCCCCCCCCCCCACCACTACCACCATGGTTGGGAGTAGCTTATTAGGAGCAAGGTGTGGTTGGCTGGTGTTCGGCAAGGTCGGCTACTGTTCGGCTGCGACAGTGGAAAGTTTCAAAATATTAAATACATAAGGTTGTGGCAAGGAGGTTGGGCCATCGTTGGGAACTGGTTGTTTGGTGGTCGGGAGTAGATCGTGTTGACAGACTCCTATCGGGATCTCTGGCGGTAGAATCGGCTACCAGATCATGGTACCCTGATATTTTCTACTAAATCCCATTTACAAAAGCCTTCAACTTCATGAATTTCAAGTTTTATTAGATTCTTTGATGCCGTTATGGCAAAAAGTATTGGTTTCACTCGTAGGTACACTTGGAAGCAAAATGATGAAGAGGGTGTAGGCACAGGGGCATATGATAGATGTTCTAGCTTTTCGGTTCACTGACATTGTAGACATTGATATGTGTGCGATGCCCATGTATAATATACTAATATTGTTTTGCATTTTAATGTGAAAGACACGCAAAGCTATATCAGGACTGTAAAACTGTATTTTGAAAGTCAATTTTCAGGTCATTTTAATATATTAAGTTTAATCACCCCTAGACCATAGGATACTGATATCTGTGAGTGAAAAAAAACGATGTCGCTGACGGAAAACGAGTGCTTGTGCTTCGTATCACAGGCAGGTTCTAGCTATTTATTGGTGGTGCCAAATATAAAGGGAATCCTCATGTTATGTTGCTTGCTTATTTCTGGGGCCTGGTTCAAACTCTTCAAGTATATGAAAAGGTAACAAAAATGTGCTAATAGGACTGATTTGTATCACTGACGTTGTATAAGTATATTATATGATTATGTATCAATAGCAATTTGGTCTTATGGTTATAATTGTTGACTCGAAATTCTCGGACTCAGAAGGTGTTGAATTCCCCTATAAACAGCCTCCATGTAATCGTCCAAGGTCATGGTTCCCAGCTTGGGGGACCCCATTTAGTGCACGTACTGTGCTTTAACGACCGCCATTAATATTTATTGAGGCCCGGACTCTCGGCAGACGCACTCTTCTCTCTGTGGCTTGCTGACCCCAAGCTCCTACCGCGTCAACTCGTAAGTACGGCCCG